TTTTTGAGATGAAGTTTCACTCTTGTTGCCCAGGCTGGAGTGCAATGGCACAATCTCAGCTCACCACAACCTCCGCCTCCCAGGTTCAAGCAATTCTTCTGCCTCAGGCTCCCGAGTAGCTGGGATTACAGGCATGTGCCACCATACCCTGCTAATTTTGTATTTTTAGTAGAGACAGGGTTTCACCATGTTGGTCAGACTAGCCTTGAACTCCTGACGTCAGGTGATCCACCCACCTTGGCCTCCCAAAATGCAGGGATTATAGGCTTGAGCCACTGTATCTGGCCTGTGGTATCTTAGTGTAGTGGAAAAGTACTTCTGAAGTTGTGTCTTATGAAGATAGTGTGCTCTACAAACAGGGCTTCTGAGAAATAAAAGTAGCTACAGGACTTGAAATGTTGGGAAGATTTTTTTCTGCTTGTCCTCCTTGCTCCATATTGTCATTGACTAAATTTTGTTAATTAATTTTTAAAGTTTCGTATAGGATAGGAGTCTTTCCATTCCCACTACAACCATTGTTCTTTAGGTCCTTATCACATGTTGAGATGATACTGTGGTTGTACATCACTGTTGTATGACTACAGTATCATCTTGTATTTGCTGTCTCTAAGACCATCCCCAGCTTCAGTGATATTCAAGGAGGACTCACGCCTATGATTTATTACAGTGAAATAATTCAAAGCCAAATCAGCAAAGGGAAACAATGCATGGGCAAAGTCCAGAGGAAACCAGGCACAAGCTTCCAAGAGTTGTCTTCTCAATGAGATTAGCTAGGATGTGCTAATCATTCCAGTATCAAATTATGGCAACACATCTGAAGTGTCCCATACCAGGAAATCTTATAGATACTCAGTGCCCAAGGCTTTTACTGGGGCCTTGTGACATGAGCACCTTTTGTGAAACACATACCAAAATTCCAAACTCCCAGAAGGAAAGCATGTTTTCAGCATAAATGACATTGTCGAAATAGTCTGGGGCACTGTGAGTCACTCTTATTTAGGGGAAGTTTTATATTAGTGTAGGGCATTGTTACCATTCAAATTTCTAGATGCCAGCCAAGGGCCAAAACTTTAAGCAGGCTTTTCATAGGACAGCAGTCTTAGGCCTGCTGTGTTTATTCCTTTGTGCATACTGCTGCTCTCTTTAATCTCTCTAATATATTGCTTTTACTTGACATTTAAGTTTGCTGGGTCAGTGGGAATTCATTATGTAATTTTTGTCTACTTTTGTTTATATTTGAAATTTTCCATAATTAAAAGTTTAGTAATAGTGCAGGCATGGTGGCTCATGCTTATAATCTCAGCACTTTGGGAGGCTGAGACGGGCAGATCACTTGAGGTCAGGAGTTTGAGACCAGCCTGGCCAACATGATGAAACCCTGTCTCTACTGAAAATACAAAAATTAGTTGGGCATGGTGGCAGGTGCCTGTAATCCCAGCTACTCAGGAGGCTGAAGCAGGGGAATCGCTTGAACCCAGGAAGGGGAAGTTCCAGCCTTGGTAACAGAGTGAGACCATGTCTCAAAAAAAGAAGTTTAGAAATATTTGATTCTGTGTTTATCATATTGTTTCATTTTTCAAAACTTTTATTTCCCTTTTGAATACAGGCTAAATCTAAGCTTCCCAGTCCAAAATTTAAGATTAAAGATCTAATATTTTTTTCTAGTGTTATTTCCTGTATTTTTGAGTATGACTCTGCCTCTTCACTAGCTAGACTAATATATTCTCCCTATAATTTACCTTTTACATTCTTGTGGCTCTTCCTCCTAGAATGTTTATTCAAATCTTATCTGTCCTTCAAAGCTCAACACGATTTCTTGCTTTGCTATAAAGTTTTCCTAACAGTCTTTATTAGTCCATTCTTATACTGCTGTAAATAAGTATATATATATTTATATTTATATAAATTTAAATATATATATGTTATATAAATATATAAAGATGGAAGCTGGGTAATTTATAAAGAAAAGAGGCTGTACACATTCCATAGGCTGTACAGGTAGCATGGCTGAGGAGGCCTCAGGAAACTTTCAATTATAGCAAGCGGTGGCCAGAGCAGGAGGGAGAGAGAGAAGCTGGAGATGCTGCACACTTTTAAACAACCAAATCTCATGAGGACTCGCTATCGTGAGAACAGCAAGGGTGAAATCTGCCCCCATGATCTAGTCACCTTCCACCAGGCCCTTCCTCCAACACTGAGGATTACAATTCAACAGGAGTTTTGGGTAGGGACACAAATCCAAACCATACCACAATCCTAACCCATGATGTTCACTGTTTTATTGTCCTCTGAAGAACTGTTTTTCTTTTATCTATATTTGGTGTTTTATATGTGTTATCTTGTGTTGTACCTTTTTTTTTTTTTTGATCTGAAGTCTCACTCTGTTGCCAAGGCTGGAGTGCAGTGACGCAATCTCAACTCACTGCAACCTCTCCCTCCTGGGTTCAAGGAATTTTGCCTTAGCCTCCTGAGTAGCCGGGACCACAGGCACGCGCCACCATGCTCAGCTGATTTTTATGTTTTTACTAGAGATGAGGTTCACTGTGTTGGCCAGTCTGGTTTCAAACTCCTGACCTCAAGTGATCCACCTGCCTTGGTCTCCTAGTGTTGTAACTTTTTGTTTGTAGATCTTGTCTCTTCAATAAAATTCAGTATTTTTTCAGCCAACCAGCTGGCTAATCAAAAAACATACTGAGTAATACCTGTTGATATTCTTTTATTTCCTTTTTTTGTTAGCCTGTTGAATTTTAGGAATAGATCTCTTTGTTACTTCTTATTGGAATTCTAAGTTAAACCTGTAATTGGACTTTGTTATTCTATCCTCTGCGACTTTTTTTTTTTTTTTTTGAGAGGTTTTTTTTTTTTTTTTTGGAGAGGTTCTCACTCTGTCAGGTTGGAGTGCAGCGGTGTGATCTCGGCTCACAGCCTCGACCTCCCCGGCTCAGGGGATCCTTCCACTTCAGCCTCCCGAGTAGCTGGAACCACAGGCGCACGCCATCACGCCTTGCTAATTTTTGTATTTTTTGTAGAGTTGGGGTTTCGTTATATTGGCCAGGCTAGTCTCAAACTCTTGAGCTCAGGTGATCCACCCACTTTTGCCTCCCAAAGTGCTGGGATTACAGGCGTGAGCCGCCTTGCCTGGCCACCCTCTCTGTGACTCTTAATTATAGTTTGATAGTTTATATATTTCTGTGCTGCATTATAGATAATTTCCTTAAATCTGTCTTCTAGTTCACAAAATCTCTTTAGCTTTGTCATTGGCTCATTAACTTCTTACCTTGAGGTGTTTTTTTTTTTTGAATATGTATTATAGAAACTTCTGAACAGTAAACACAATAATGAAGCTACTCCACCCCTACAGTTTCTGACATCCAAGTTCAATTATCAACTTTTTAATGGCAGATTCTCATATCTGCTTCTCCATTCAGTCTGTCATGATAGCACATGTCATCTTTCCTCTAGAAAACTGACACTATACTCCAAGAATGTAAGTGAAAAGGCAAATAACATCTTAGAATTATTGTGAAAATAGTTTCACTTAGTGGGTCCTCTAGATTTCATTTTGAAAACTGCTCTCCATAAGGTTGATAAGCACTTTAAGTGACAACCTTATATGGCTTCAGGGATGGATGTTTAAAAGTCATTCTTCAGTGGCTATATCCAGTTAGAAGCCCCTGTGAAACGTCTTGCAACAGCTTCCTTTTTCATTCTGGCTTTACTTCTGCTCTGTTTCCAGAAACTGGGAATTCCCTTTTCTTTTGAGTTCAGCTGTGAAGTTTTTCTGGTTATTGTTAGAGTTTATCCTATATTTCTAGGTGTGTTTGTATAATGGTTAGGAGTGATGGCTGTGACTTTCTGCATCATGTCAGTCTTCATTGTTGTCACAAATTCAGGATTATGTGTTTTACTATGTTTTGTCAGTATCTAGCACCATTCTGTCAATATAGTAATAAACATTTTGGGAAATTATGCTACGGGGAATAAAGTAGAAATAATAGTGTTGTATTAAGATGGGTCTCATACCTAATGTAGATGACGGGTTCATGGGTGCAATAAACCTGCACATTCTGCTCATGTACCCCAAAACTTAAAGTATAATAAAAAAAATTGGGTCTCATACTATTTTCCTGATAGGCTAGAGAATAACAAGAATTGCTCATGTGCTTTGTAGTAAACCAGAGGTATCTGAAATAAAGGGAAATCTAAATAAAACCTAGACAGAAGGTAGGATTAAATATTTAGTTATATGAGTTACATGTAGTGGAGAACAAAGAGCACAGATTATATGCACTAGATTATTATAAATATTATAAATTTTTTTACTTTTCTGGGAAGACTCCCTTGATGTTTCTATTGGGCACTTTTCATTTCTGATCTTTCATTTACAGCTTTTTTCAATCTTACAGGAATATGCACTTTCTGGTTGGAATTTGAATAACATGCCTGTCCTGGAACAGTCTGTTCTTGCACATATTAATGTGGACATCTCTGGTATGAAAGTGCCATGGCTCTATGTGGGAATGTGTTTCTCTTCTTTTTGCTGGCACATTGAAGATCACTGGAGTTATTCCATCAACTACTTGCACTGGTATGCACAGTCTTCAGTACAGCATGCATGAACTCTACTAAAGTCTAGTGGATTAATGATGCCAAGTTTTTGAGCTTTAAGGTTTATAGACAGAAGTATATTCAAGGTTTCAATATTTTCTAGCCTTGGCCTGTTTCTTTGGGTAGTAAAATTGAACTCAGTGAAGCTATTTAGAGGTATTCTGGAGAGCATAGACTTACTTACATCCTTGTTGGGATAATTGAAATGTCCATTATTCACATGAACCTGTGAATCAAGGTCATTTGTCAGCATCCTTTGGGACAGTGCTTACTTTTCATATAGTGTCTTTCCTGTTTGAAGGTGTTTTCACTGATCCACCTTAAAGAGTTCATGTGCTGAGTTGCTTTTCTAATTTTAGTGATAAGTTTGTATCTACCTATACATACAATATTTACTTACCTCCTATTGTGAATAACAGCACAGGTTTGTGAGATGGTTGCTAGAATTCAGGGTGTATAATCCGACCAGGGAATAAGAAAAGTTAATTATAATTTGTTGAATTTGAATCAGATACCCTATCCTCATTGGTACCATATTCTGGCTAGCTAAACAATTATTTCTTTTGCTAGGGGGGAGCCAAAGACATGGTATGGTGTGCCATCTCATGCTGCAGAACAACTGGAGGAGGTGATGAGAGAACTGGTCCCTGAGTTATTTGAATCCCAGCCTGATCTTCTGCATCAGTTAGTCACCATCATGAACCCCAATGTGCTAATGGAGCATGGTGTGCCTGTGAGTCTTTTGATGTCTTCCTTTAGTGCTTTCTTTCTTTCTTTTTTTTTTTTTGAGACAGGATCTTGCTCTGTTGCCCAGGCTGCAGTGCAGTGGCGTGATGATTGCTCATTGCAGCCTCAACCTGCTCGGCTCAAGCAGTTCTCCTGCTTCAACCTAATTGAGTAGCTGGGACTACAGGAGCACACCACCATGCCCGGCTAATTTGTTGATTTATAGAGATGAGGTCTTACTGTGTCACCCAGGCTGGTCTTGAACTCCTGAGCTCAAGCAGTCCTCCCACCTCGCCCTCCCAAAGTGTTGGGATTACAGGCGTGAACCACTGCACCCAGCCAGTATTTTTAATTTAAAGTTACTTTAGCTTTTGATTAGGTAGAATTACAACATATGTTTTGTTTTGTAACTAGAAATGAGTCGTATCATCTTCTAGCCAAATTAGAATTTACCCTCTGAAGGGAACAACTTTTATCTAATTAAGAAGGGAAGTACTGAAGTATGAATCATATTTTATGTACAGCTACCTATTCACATAACCTTCTGTTTTCAGTAAATATTATATCCTACTTTGAACAAAAATCTCATATTCTTTGTTATCCTTATGTACGAAAGCAGAGGTATTTTAAGTAGTGGCTCTAATAACTAATGCTTATCCTGATTTTCTCATATAAAGATTTCTTAGCTTTTAATACATGAGATAATGAAATAAAAATATACTGCAAATACCTTTTGCACTTTTCAACCTAATTTTGAAGATGTTTCTCAAATTCAAGCTAATACCTGATAAAGTTATAAATTTAATAAAGTTTACTGTAATCAAATATTCATTATAACCTTAAAGAGAAAGATTAACATTTATGTTACTTTGTTTTTAAAGACTAAATTTATACCAGAATCTGAGACTTTTCAAGAGACATATAGTATTATTGTAAAATAAAGTGAGATTCAGGAAAACAGATTTTCGGGACATCTCATTGGGAATGTCTCATGCTATGTGAGTTAATCAATTTAGTTAGTTTCCCAAAAATTATCCAAAAGTTGTAAGAAATTCTATTATTTGCCACTATTTATGATACAAGAATAAAATAACTTCTCTTAATTGTAAAAATTGTATCAGTTTAGGAAATTTGTAGCTCATTGAGAGTAATGTTTTTTCTTTGAGCATTTCTTTTGGCTGCTAATTCTTGTTGTGAATTATCATCTATTTATCAGTGATTATTTTAAGAAGGTAGAATTCTGGCTACTTCTGATACCATTTTCTGATATGTGTAAGTTAATGCTTTATTGTTTTCAGTTTTAGAAAATGCATCTGAAATTGACTAATAAAATCTGTCTTCCTCTTTCTTTGTTTTTACTTTTTATCATTTATTTTGTATCCCTGTTCCCAATTTGCCTTTAGGTGTACAGGACCAATCAGTGTGCTGGAGAGTTTGTTGTGACATTTCCTCGTGCCTATCACTCTGGATTTAACCAGGGCTACAACTTTGCTGAAGCTGTGAACTTCTGTACTGCTGACTGGGTCTGTTCTATAGCAAGTGGCTGTTGTACGTCTACTAACCGCCCTATAAATATAATGCAGCTTAGTCGCCATATTTGCTTAGCTGGGCTCAGGGTAGGGTTCATCAGTATTTCAGTGGAGACTGGCGTGACTGTTATAGTTTAGAAAGCTAGGAAGTAGAGTTCCATCACAGTTTTTTTTTTTTTTGAGACAGAGTTTCGCTCTTGTCGCCCAGGCTGGAGTGCAATGGCGCGATCTTAGCTCACTTCAACCTCTGCCTCCCAGGTTCAAGCAATTCTCCTGCCTCAGCCTCCTGAGAAGCTGTTATTACAAGTGTCTGCCACCACACCTGGCTAATTTTTGTATTTATAATAGATACAGGGTTTCATCATGTTGGCCAGGCTGGTCTCGAACTCCTGACCTCAGGTGATCCACCTGCCTTGGCCTCCCAAAGTGCTGGGATTACAGGCGTGAGCCACCACCCCTGGCCAAGATTTTATAGCTCTTCTTAGCCATTTATTATTTGCCTCATTGTTTGATCTTGCTTCCTTCATTTCCATACTTTCCTTTCCCCCATTTCCTTCTTTCCTTCCTTTCCTTCTCTCCTTTGCTTTCCTTCTTTTCTTTACTTTGTCTCCCTTCTGGTCAGGTGCTCAGAGGAGAGAGATGATTTCAATTTGTAAATGGTCCATTGATTCTTTCTGAATCCTTCTTTTCTAAGGTGAGATACAGGTTGGTGCAAAAGTAATAGCGGCTTTTGCCATTGAAGATACAGGTTGGTGCAAAAGTTCAAAAGTTTTTTTATGCCCTTATGTGGTCCTTCATTCTTGCTCTGTACCACCTTTGTGAAACCTATGATTTTTTTTTTTTTTTTTTTTTTTGCACCAACCTATAATTTTTCTAGCCTTTGAATATTTTTGGAACTAAGGTGACCACACTTATAGAGATAATTTCAAGTATTAATTTTACCATATTTTCAGATACGTAGCTCTATGGTTTTTTATAATATTCCTTCATTGTTTTTTTCTGATAGGTGACTACTAGTCTTGCCATTTTATGTTCTTTCTGTTCCTTTTTTAATTTTAAAAGAGTGTAATATTGAGATCTCTGCACTGTATACTTGTATGTAAATGATAATGCTAGGTAATTGCTATTTTGCTTTTGTATGAAGTAGATAATCAAAAAATATTTAGTGGCCGGTTAAGTTGCATGGGAGAAGATTATACAGTATATTTATGATACACACTGACTATTTTCTTGTATTGGTGCTGTTTTTGTTGCTTCTGTTAACATTTTGGGGAAATTGTTTAATAATATTGGATCTTATGTTTTCTGTAGGCACTGTAATTTATTAAATTCCATGATTAACCATATAGAGATTGTTTTTGTTTCCTTTGCTAATGAGTAAAATGATACAATGAATAGTCTCCCGCCAATAGTCTTACTTGATAAAGTAATTTTGAACTTTTTTCTTATTAGGCTTTGGAAACAGCATAATTTAGCAAGAACAAGACCAGGCTTAGGATTTTTGCCTTGAGCTTGAGCTCTGTTTCTAAAAATTCAGCCAACATTTATTGACTGTTTGTGATTTACATCTTAATTGGCTAGGTGTAGGGTAGAAAATGGGAGGATTTAGATAGGAGGTGGAGATAGTTTCTGCTGTTCCCATTCTTACTATTACTGATGTTTGACCTTGGGCAGCTTTTAAAATTTCACTGGGCCTAAGTTTTTTAGCTGATATGTAAGGATACTAATAGATTCATTTAATAACCTCAGGCAAGTTAGAGGATATGTGTGGAAGCCCTTGAGACTCTTTAGAAGGGTATAATATAAATTATAAGTTACAGCAGTTTTATCTCTGGAATAAATTAATGGGACTAATTTTTATAAGTTACAGTGGGTAATCAGTTCTGTTTTATGTGGCTTCCTCACATATTACTATAATTAAGAACTGTAAATCCCAAAGTATGATTTTTTTCTTCTACTTGTTTCTCTATTGAGGCTATGTGAGAAATGTTTAAAGAGTACATATTTAAGATATGAAAGAGTTATGTGTTAATAGACAAAATTATTGTGAATCATAAGTTCAATATGTATTATGTATTATTTTATATATAGGTATACTTTTTCCTTGAGAAAGTTTTTTTTTTGAAGAGTATGGAAACACTGCATAATGCAGAGATAGCCTTATATTTTCTGTGATTCCTCTGATTGCTTTCTGCCTTTCTCAAACTATAGATGAATTCTACAGTTCTTAAAGACCTATTTTCTTATTTTTTCTCCTTTATATTACAAATCCAAACAAAACTCCTTTAGCTATCTAAGTTATTGTGCCTGAGCATAGGAAAGAAGTTGAAGTTGGAGTCCGTATCTAAGTGTAGAGCATTGCTGTTGTCATAATTTGGCCTGTAGCTTGATAATTATGGAAATTTTCAAAATTTATTTTAAAGGCTGTATCTGTTCATTTACGAAAAGTGATCATTTTGTCATTTCATTGTTAGGAAAATAAAGTATATAATTTTATAATTTTACTTCTTTGAATTATCTTTCTATCAGGCTTGTTATTTAAAATAATTTCTAGATGCTAAAATCTAAATCATCTTTTGTTTTGATTTTTGCAAAAAAATTAAAAGTCACCCAGTATGGATTACTTATTACCTTCTTCCTCTTTCCTCTCCTTATCTTTTTCTTTTTCTTCTAATAACTTCCGTTCTTTTTGTTCTGTGGAAATTTGAGTGCTGAATACTTCTACTTAACCCTCTTTGGCTTGAACTTATTTAATTATTTATTTTTACAATATTTTTCTTTTCCTTGTAAGGGCAGGCTCATGTTAAACTTCTCTAAAAGAGTTTGCAGCCTCATTTATATACCAAAGAACTCCTTCTTGAGGTACCATAAATAGAAAATTAGCAGTTTAGGCCAGAAATTTAGCATCTCAGATTATGGGAATTTTCTGTAGGAAAACCTTTGAAATTCTGGCTGGGTCATACAGGATTAATATTTACAATTAATATAATATTACCTCATATTTAAATGGATTTGTTGTTCTGCCTCCTTTCTAATAAAAGGGAGGATCTGGAGGGCAAATAGTGGTTCTGTTGCTGGATTTGGTTATAAGCGAGATATTTAATTTGGAAATCTCATTTTCAGTTGCCCATTGGACGTCAATGTGTAAATCATTACCGTCGCCTAAGGCGCCATTGTGTCTTTTCACACGAGGAACTTATTTTCAAGATGGCAGCAGATCCAGAATGCTTAGATGTGGGGCTGGCTGCCATGGTCTGCAAAGAATTGACTGTCATGACTGAAGAAGAAACACGATTAAGAGAGTCTGTTGTGCAGATGGTGAGTTTACTGGGCACGTTTTCTATGTTTGATACCACTTATGTGATATACTAAATAAACCTATAGTTAGAATTTTCCTCTGATCTCCTAGGAGTTGAACATAAAAATCACTTATTTGGAGAAGATTTTGTATTTTTATAATTGCCATATTGGTTTCTTCAAATTAAAAGGTTTTAGGAATTTTATCATCTCTAGGTTTTTAAAACTGAAGTCCTATCAGAATTTCTTAGGTACATATTTACCTTTTAAATCTTCTACATACAGTGTTGTTTAAACAAGAAAATTTAAATTGTTTTTTCCTCTGAGCTTTGTATTGAATAAGTTACGTTTCTGGCAATTGCAGACTGTCAGTTTGAAATAATCTTTTTCCCCCCCCTTTAAGTAATTTGAAGAATAGGAAGGATGGAATAACCAAGAGTTGGGATTTTGAATGCTTAGAATGAACTAAGCATCATTACATTGAACTGGGAAATATATGAGAAAATGTGTATCTTCAGCATCACCTTGGGCTGTTCCCTCTAATATTTCCTACATAACTAGCTAGCTTCATTAGGTTTACACCATGCTTCCTCCTGTTTTTGTATCATGTCCCTCCTCCCTCTCTGCCTGATATTCTCTGTTTTTAAGATAGCTTTGTTGAAGCATAATTGACCTGTAATAAACTACATGTGTTTAAAGTATACAATTTGATAAGTTTTGACTGTGTATATACCCATGAAACTGCTGCTACAATCAAGATAATGACTATATCACCCCAAAACGTTTTTTTATGCCTGTATGTGGTCCTTCCTTCTTGCTCTGTACCACCTTTGTGAAAGATGGGTTCTCTCTCTGTCGCCCAGGCTGGAGTGCAGTGGCACAATCATAGCTCACTGCAGCCTCAAACTCCTGGTCTCAGTCTATCTTCTCACCTCAGCCTCTGGAGTAGTTGGGGCTGCAGGTGCGTGTTACCATGTCCGTCTAATTTTTTTAATTTTTTGTAAAAATGGAACCTTGCTTTGTTACCTAGGCTGGTCTCAAACTCCTGGCTTCCAGTGGTCCTTCTGTCTTGGCCTCCCAAAGCGTAGGGATTACAGCCATGAGCCACCATGCCTAGCCACCCTGTGCCACCTTCTTCTCTTGCCCTGAATCCCCAGGAAACCACTATTCTTTCTTTGCTTATTTTTTGGAGAATTTTATTCAGATCGAATGATGCAGCTTATACTTTTGCGGTCTAATTTCTTTCAGTCAGCATAATTTGAGACTCATCCATATTGTTGCATGTACTAATACTTTTTTTTTTTTTTTTTTTTTTTTGATACGGAGTCTTATTCTGTCACCCAGGCTGGAATGCAGTGGCACAAACTCGGCTCATTGCAACCTCTGCCTCCTGGGTTCAAGCGATTCTCCTGCCTCAGCCTCCCAAGTAGCTGGAATTACAGGAATGTGCTACTATGCCCAGCTGATTTTTGTATTTTTAGAAGAGACGGGGTTTTACCACATTGGCTTGTCTTGTCTTGAACTCCTGACCTGAAGTGATCCACCTGCCTCGGCCTCCCAAAGTGCTGGGATTACAGGCGTGAGCCACTGCAGCCAGCCTGCATGTACTAATACTTTATTCCTTTTTATTGCTCACTAGTTTTCCTTTGAATAGATATACTACAATTTGTTTATCCTTTCACTTGTGGATGGACATTTGGATTGTTTACATTTTTTGGCTGTTAGAAATTAAATTTCTCTGGACATTTGTGTACAGCTTTTTGCATGAACATATGCTTTCATTTATCTTGAGTAAATACTAGGAGTGGAATGGTTGGATCATATAATATTTATATGTTTAATATTTTCTAAAAAAACTATGAAACTGTATTCCAAAATGGTTGTACCATTTAACATTTGCACCAGTAGTGTATAAGAGAGTTCCAGTTGCCTTACATCCTCACCCACGCTTGGTATAGTTAGTCTTTTCAACTTTAGACATTCTAATAAGGTTGTAGTGGTATTTTATTATTTTATATTCCCACTTCATACTTGTATTCTTTTTTTGTTTGTTTTGTTTGTTTTTGAGATGGAGTCTTACTCTGTTGCTCAGACTAGAGTGCAGTGGCACGATCTTGGCTCATTGCAACCTCCACCTCCCAGGTTCAAGCGATTCCCCTGCCTCAGCCTCCCAAGTAGTTGGGATTACAGGCATGTGCCACGTTGCCTGGCTAATTTTGTATTTTTAGTAGAGATGGGGTTTCACCATGTTGGCCAGGATGGTCTTGAGCTCTTGACCTCAAGTGATCCTCCTGCCTTGGCCTTCTACAGTGTTGGGATTACAGGCATGAGCCACTGTGCCTGGCCTATACTTGTATTCTTAAAAGTCTTATATTGATTATATGTTTATTTAAAATGGAATTCCTTTTCTCATTGCTTAGAGTCTTTCTTTGGAATTTTGAAATTTTAAGTACATTGGTGGAGACTCATGAAATATGGTTTTGTGATAAGTCCTCATTATTTCAGATTTAATCTGAATGAGGTATTATTTTCCTTGCCCTTCGATAATTTGAATGCCACATTTCCTGATCCTCTACCATGTTTTTTTGTGATGCCTTGATCAAATAACTTACCTTCTGTCTCTGCCCTTGTTCAGTTACTTATCCTTGCCCTCTCTTTGTGCTATGGACTTGTCTTTTCTATTTTAAGAAAAGTTCTCATTTTATCTTTTACTGAAAATCTTCAATGGTTTTCCCATGATCAGCACTCTGATGTCCTCTTTCTCCCTTCATCATCATTGTCATTCTGTTTCCATCATACTTTTGAAAGTCTCAGAGTTCACCAGTGACACATTTTATTGCCAAATTCATTGGTTTCTTTCCATGTCTTCCATCCCCATGACCTCCTTACTGCATTGTATGTTGCTGCTTTGGTTTCTTTCCCTAACATTTGCTCTACTGTTTTTTTAGTCTGTTTGATTATATTTGCACATCATTTCCAGTTCATTCTCCTTATCTCCCCAACAATGTGTGCAGAGTTCAGCTTTTCACTGTTTATTGTTGTTATTTTGTTCTGTTTATCTAGGAATTCTCATCTATTCTTAGAGTCTTAAGTCTTTCAGCTTTTACCTTGTGGTTTCAGTTCTACTTAAAGTTTCCTCCTATTATATGAATACGCAGAAATTATTGTCTCTTTGAAAGAGGCTGTATCCAGTCACTTGTTTGTAATCTGTGTTTCCAACATGTGTATTGCACACTTCTATTTAGATTTTTATCATTTCAGTTTCAGCATCTGAAATAGAAAATCCCTTTCCTTTCCACCTTTCACAAACCACTTTTCTTTCCTAATTGCCTCATCTAAGTTAGCACAGTGACCATCATGTAAAAACTTAGTGTGATCTTGACTTATCTGTTTCCTTTTTTTGTCGGGGGCCGGAGTCTCCCTCTGCCGCCCAGGCTGGAGTGCAGTGGCGTGATCTTAGCTCACTGCAACCTCTGCCTCCTGAGTTCAAGCAATTCTCCCGCCTTAGCTTCCTGAGTAGCTGGGATTACAGGCATACACCACCTTGCCCAGCTAATTTTTGTATTTTTAGTGAGACAGGGTTTCACCATGTTGGCCAGGCTAGTCTTGAACTTCTGGCCTCAAGTGATCTGCCCGCCTTGGCCTCCCAAAGTGCTGGGATTATAGGTGTGAGCTATCACACCTGTCCTCATTTCCTTCATAGTTATCTGTTACTTAGTTTTTTTGTACTATTTATTTACTTATTTGAGACAGAGTCTCACTCTGTCACCCAACCTGGCGTGCAGTGACACGATCGTAGCCTCATTTCCTTCATAGTTATCCGTTATCTATTTTTTTGTTTTACTTATTTATTTGTTTATTTATTTATTTGAGACAGAGTCTCACTCTGTTGCCCAAGTTGCAGTGCAGTGGCGTGATCGTGGCTCACTGCAGTCTCTCTCAGGTTCAAGCAATTCTGTGTCAGCCTCCTGATTAGTTAGGGTTACAGGCATGTGCCACCACACTTGGCTAATTTTTGTGTTTTTAGTAGAGACAAGGTTTAATCATGTTGACCAGGCTGATCTTGAACCCCTGACCTCAGGTGATCCACCTACCTCAGCCTCCTAGAGTGGTGGGATTACAGGTGTGAGCCACCACACCAGGCTTGTTACCGAGTTTTAAGTTTTTCTTTGGCACCGTCTCTCATCACTCTCCCTTGTCCCCTTTTTTCCTTACTGCTACACCATCCCGTTCTATTCCTTAATTTTCTCACCTGGCTTATTTCAAATAGGCTTTTTTGGTTTTTGCTTTTTTGGGATTGAGTTTTGCCCTGCTACCTAGGCTGGAGTGTAGTGGCGCAGTCTTAGCTTACTACAACCTCTGCTTCCTGGATTTGAGTGATTCTCCTGCCTTAGCCTCCCAAGTAGCTGGGACTACAGGTGCGTGCTACTACTCCCAGCTAATTTTTTGTGTTTTTAGTAGATACAGGGTTTCACTATGTTGGCTGAGATCACTGCAAGCTTGTCTCGAACTCCTGGCCTTAAGTGATTCATCCACCTTGGCCTCCCAAAGTGCTGGGATTATAGGTGTGAGCTACCACACTTAGCCTCAACCTTTTAATTTGTATTTCTGGCTTTTTTCTTCTCTCCATTCCCTGCTTATTTATGATTTTCTAAAGTATATTCTCAGGAATATAAGCTTTGTAATATTTTAGAGGGTATTATAAGAAAAAATCATTTTGTGTCTAGAAAAGTTTAGAAAATGGCAGGCTAAGATAAATGGATGTATTTAAAATATTGATGTTAGTTTCATTTAAGACTAGAAAAGTAAAAGAATGATGAATTCTACTTTGGGTACAAAAAATAAGGGGACCCAAAATAATGTGAAATATATACTTTTCCAGTTTTCAGGATTTTAAAATTACTTGAAAGGTATAGGAAAATTAATGGTAAAAATTAATAAAAAACATATAGGCCAAGAAAAAGAAAGATAAATGGGATCTTTACTGCAAAACTTCTGATTCTTTAATATGCTTGTCCTCATTGTTAATCTGTAAAGTGGGAGGGATATAATCCATAGCAGTTTCAAAAAAAAAAAAAAAAAAAATTTTTCCCTAATTTTTTTTTTTTTTTTTTTGGTAGAGACTGCCTTCCAGGCTGGTCTTGAACTTGTTGGCCCAAGCAGTCCTCCCACCTCAGTTTCCCAAAGTGCTCAGATTACAGGTGTGAGCCATTACACCTGGAACAAAGAAATTTATTTTTTCCAGAGTATCTTTTAGGATATGTGATCCTTGGAGTACACTTTGGGAAATTGTGTAAAATTTCTTGAAGCAGCCAGAACTTTCTCAGGGACCACATTAGCATTTCCCTTCAGAACAGCATTGCTAGTAGTTCTGAAGCTGAGTAAATTCTTGTAAATTAAGAAATACGTGCAATGCATTTTGATACTATTTTTACGTTGAAATAATTTTTAAAGAAAATATTAAATGTCAATATGAGAAAATGGAAAGATATGAGAATATGGCCAGCAGACATCTAGATTAAACTGATATGAAAAACAATGTATGATGAAAGAATTGTGTCTGCTAGTGAATAAATTAAGAGGTTCCTACCTTGTTTAAATGAAGAGAGTTTGCTGTTATTACAGAATTGGGTTTACAAGTAACTTGCTCAATCAAGTAAGCAGAAACTAAAGTTATATAATAAATGGAGGTGATGGGTAAAATGGGTAAAATGTACTTCATATGCTCTTACCTTCTTTTTTTTTGAGACAGAGTTTTGCTCTGTCACTCAGGCTGGAATGCGGTGGCGTGATCTCAGCTCACTGCAACCTTTGCCTCTCGGGCTCAAGCCATTCTCCTGCCTCAGCCCCCTGAGTAGCTGGGACTATAGATGGGCACCACCACACCTGGCTAATTTTTGTATTTTTAGTAGAGACAGGGTTTTGCCACGTTGGCCAGGCTAATCTCGAACTCCTGATCTCAGGTGGCCTGCCCACCTTGGTTTTCCAAAGTGTTAGGATTACAGGCGTGAGCCACCACACTTGGCCTGCTCTTACATTCTTAAACTGTCATACTGAATTTGTCTTAACTTTCTTTTTGATGTCATGCTGATGTTATATTTTGATTTGTACAATTTACTTTATAGTTCTTTGTCCTTACATATGTTTGTGTATGTCAGTGTACACTTTCAGATCATAGATTACTAATTTACTTTGCTCAAGGATGTAATTGGGAGGAACTTTTGGAATGCAGCCAGCCACCCCAAAAATGCCTTCTAATTACAATTTTCTTCCCTCTTCTCAAAAAACCATCCTGACTTTTGTGGTAATCACGTTTCTTTTTTTTAGAGACAAGATCTTGCAGTGTCACCTGGGCTTGGAGTGTAGCGATACTGTCGTAGCTCACTGCAGCCTGGCCTCAAGTCTTTCCTCTTTAGCCTCCTGAGTAACTGGGACTACAGGCATGAACCACCATGCCTGGCTAATGTTTAAAACTTTTTTTGTAGGGATGGAGTCTCACTTTGTTGCCCTGGCTGGTCTCAAATCTCTGGCTTTAAGCAATCCTTCCACCTCGGCCTCCTGAAATACTGGGATTATAGCCATGAGCCACGGCACCCAGCCCACATTTCATTATAGTTTTTGTCACTCAAATGTTCATCCTTAGATACCAAACTTTAATCTTGCCCATTAAATACAATTTAGTAATGACTACTTTTAGGAAATGTTTTGATTTTGTGCCATTGTACCTTTCATGTTTATACCTTAAGTCAGATATTTGTCTGTAGAAAAAAATGTAGTAACTTGTTTTTTTTATGCTTTGAAGACTAGAAAGACTTGATCTAGTGAAATAAATTATATTTCAGGGTGTCCTGATGTCAGAAGAAGAAGTGTTTGAACTTGTTCCTGATGATGAGCGACAGTGTTCAGCATGCAGAACCACATGTTTTCTCTCTGCTCTCACATGTTCCTGTAATCCTGAGCGGCTTGTATGTCTCTACCATCCAACTGATCTGTGCCCCTGCCCCATGCAGAAGAAATGTCTTAGGTATCCAAAAGTATCTTGTAAAACTTTCGTTACCTTTTTTTTTTTTTTAAACCAAGTCTTAATGTTGTTTTTACTTATTCCCTTCCTCTTCTCTGGACTTCCCAACTTCTCTGTCTACTTCTAGGCTTGAAGACCAGTCCTTTAAAGTTGGCCCTAAACTTGGCAACTGAAATTAGTTTATCAGTTGATTTCACATGTTCCTTGTCTCCCTGCATTAAAAGCTGTGGGCTGCTTTGATTTTCTCTTTATGTGAACTAAGATCCCATTCCCTTGGCTATTGTATTTTCCTTAAGCTGATTATACTTAAAACTTTATTTTCAAGTTATTGTTGGTTTTTGAGGTTTTTATTTCTGTGTGTTTGTGTTTTTTTTTGTTTTTGTTTTTTGTAGATATCGCTACCCATTAGAAGACCTCCCTTCTCTGCTGTATGGTGTAAAAGTCAGGGCACAGTCCTATGACACTTGGGTCAGTCGCGTTACAGAAGCATTGTCTGCTAACTTCAACCACAAAAAAGGTTAAATTTCCTTCTTTTGCATGCATATACTGAAATGATTGTCACTTTAAATGAGGCCTTGTTTAGTTTTATGTTTTTTCCCTCCATAAAATAAAAATCCTAGGCTTCCTTTGAGATTTGAGACTAACGGGGTCCATAAAAGAAAAATCCTAGGCTTCCTTTGAGATTTGAGACTAACGGGGTTGTTGAATATAGGCTTAATTTTCTATTTGAGAATCTTCTTTTAAATAAAAAAGCTGACATTAAAATGGGACAGACATCTAACTTGCAGTAAATTTATAATATATGTTGGGAACCCACTATTATCAGTGAGACTAATAACGAAGACTTCTTTGGAAAGAGAAATTTATTTTCTTTTTTAGACAGTTTCTGAGAGAAACTGTTTATAGGGACTATAAGTGGGCGGTCGTTAGCTTTTATTGTGTTGGTGAGATTTTCACAGTGGTTTGTTTTTACTAATTATCATGTTTCTAGTAGGTTGGTGACTCACTTGAGCGAGATTGCTAAAGATTTTAGAATGGCTTTTTGTGTTTATGGTCATAGTATATGGCTTTTTATTTATTTTTACAGATTTGATTGAATTGCGAGTAATGCTGGAAGATGCTGAGGATAGGAAATACCCAGAGAATGATCTCTTTCGAAAACTCAGGGATGCTGTGAAAGAAGCTGAGACCTGTGCTTCTGTGGCTCAGCTGCTTCTGAGCAAAAAGCAGAAACACAGGTAAACTTAAGAAGAGTTTAATTATCCAGTGTTTTCTTGTTTCTTTCAGAGTAAAAGCCAAAGTTTTATTTGGCCTGTGAAGCCTATCATTATCTTTGACCTCTTGTGGCCATGTCTCTTGAATCCCCGGTAATGCTCCAGTTTTATCTCCTACTATTCTCCCTTCTTTCTTGCTCCAGCCTGCAGTGTTCTTTCTCTTGCTGTTCTTCATACATAGCAGGCCCATTTTTGCTCAGGACTGCACCCTCTCTCTTTACTCTGCTTGTTATCTTCCCTTCATATCCGGGTGGCTTGTTTGTTCCCTTACCTCTTTGAAGCCTTCGTTTTCAAATGTCACTTTGTTGGAGGGGGCTTTTCTGACAAGCCTTTATAAACTTTCAATCCTCTTACCCTTCTTTCATGCTTTGTTTTTCTCCTAGCTTTATCACCTTCTGATATACTAATCTACTTATTTTATTTATTATCTGTCTTCTCTTTTCTTCCTTTTCTAACCCCACTAGAATGTACACAATATTAGAGTATCAGGGAATTTTTTTTTCATTGCCATATTTCTTTTTCTTAGAACAATGCCTGACACATAGTTGTGCAATAAATATTTATAAATAAATAAATTGAAACTTTAGGCTGAAGGCAGGTGGCAGCAAAGGGTAACCTTGATGGATGCTGAGGAGGTTGTTAAGGAGCATAGAAGTATTCACCCTTGATATAATATAATTCATAAGTATTAAATTTTCTGTTTAAATTTGTTGTAGTGATTCCAACACAATTTTTTTTTGTCTGAATGGCTTGTCTATAGCAGTTTACATTGGGTTTTTAAATTACTTTGTAGATTTTTAATCTACCATTTTGTTAGAGAACTTTTCTTAGGGACATTGATCAGCGGCGCTTGTCACTGGGTCAGTGTCCCCACTTGGAAAACCTAGTAAAATTTTAAGATCCCTATTAGAAAAATCATACACACACAAAGTTTTGAAACACTTTCAGAGGGTTCATTGTTAACTAAGGCAGGTTAAAGGCTCTTGTTTCACATTTTAACCTTGAGATACAGGATTCAGTTTTATCAGTTAACTTAATATTCCAACTATGAGGAATTTATGTCATGCTTGAAATGTTTAATACTTGTAGATCGAAGGAACTGTAACTTGGAGAGTTGAATCTTTGGGTCATTAACTGAAGAACTTAAAAACTGTTTTGAAGTGTTCACCATTGTGGTATAATCCCTCAAACACTAGGATTCTAGGATTGCTTGGGTTTGAATTCTGAAGAGACTAGGAGCCCTTTTGATATCAGAATGACTAAATTTTTCTTACTTGTATCTCAATATTGTTTCACATCAGACAGAGCCCAGATAGTGGGAGGACTCGGACCAAACTGACAGTGGAAGAATTGAAGGCCTTTGTCCAACAACTTTTTAGTCTTCCGTGTGTCATCAGCCAAGCTCGGCAAGTGAAGGTGGAGTATTATATGCTTTTTTTGGGTAATGTCCTTTGTGACATGGGCTACTGTTCTGGGTTTCACAGAATAGTATGTCTAAACTAGTTTTTTGCTTTGATTTTTTTTTTCTCACATGTATGCTGCTATTTGAGGTTTTTCAGTAGTCAGTTTTTTGGTTTTGTTCTTAGCCATATTCCCCATTTAAAATTCTGGAAGTAAGGCTGGTATAAAATTACTTTTTTCTATATTAATTTTAGTTTAGAACCCCCATTTAACATGGATGTAATTGAAATGCAAAAAATTAGTTAAAATAATCTGCATGTATCAGTGTTAATATGTGAGCTTTTAAAAATGCAGAGCTCTGAAATTACGAGCACCCTGATGGCTTAATGAATATGTAAAATCTTAAAAGTATGTATCAAATATATTAATCTGCATAGTTAATGATCTTTTGATAGTTTGGGGTGTTTTTGTGTTTTGGGGGTGGGTAGGAAGTCTAAAATAGTTTTCTTTCTTTCTTTTTTTTTGGAGATGGGAGTCTTACTCTGTCGCCCAGGCTGATGTGCAATGGCACAGTCTCGGCTCATTGCAACCCCTGCCTCCTGGGTTCAAGTGATTCTCCTGCCTCAGCCTCCCGAGTAGCTGGAATTACAGGAATGTGCCACTATGCCCAACTAATTTTTGTATTTTTAGTATAGACGGGGTTTTGCCATGTTGGCCAGGCTGGTCTTAAACTCCTGACCTGAAATGATCTGCCTACCTCGGCCTCCCAAAGCGTTGGGATTACAGACAGGAACTATCACACCCAGCCTACAATAGTGTTTTTTTTTTTGTTTTGTTTTTGTTTTTTGAGACAGAGTTGCGCTCTTGTTGCCCAGACTAGAATATAGTGGCGCGTCTTGGCTTACCGCAATCTCTGCCTCCCTGATTCAAGCGATTCTCCTGCCTCGGCCTCTTGAGTAACTGGGATTACAGGCATGCATCACCACACCTGGCTAATTTTGTATTTTTTAGTAGAGATGGGGTTTCTCCATCTTGGTCAGGCTGGTCTCAAACTCCTGACCTCAGGTGATCTGCCCGCCCCGGCCTCCCAAAGTACTGGGATTACAGGCGTGAGCCACGTGCCTGGCCGCCTAAAATAGTTTTTATCAAGGTTATCAACTTGTAAAATCTAGTGTCAGTTGTGTTCTTGTCTTATTCCATTTCATAAGAGCATTTTGATAGTTGACTACCCTTTCTGTTCTTGAAGCCTCTGTGACACCACACTTTCTGGGTTTTTTCTTAGCTCATTGACAGGTCTTCTCTTAAGTCATCTTTGCTGCTTGTTTTCTCTTTGGCTTGACTTCTAAGTGTTGGAGTATATTAGGAGTCTCGGCCCTTTCTTCAGGTGCACCCACTTCTGATACCTTATTTGCTTAGTGACATTAAATATCACCTATATCCTGTTGATTCCCACATCTCTAGCACTTTTTTTCCTACAGACTTGTATGTCCAGCTACATACTCTGCATTTCCATTGGGTAGACTAAAAGGCATCTTAAAGGCCTTTCTTTTTTTTGAGATAGGATCTGGCTCTGTCACCCAGGCTGGAGTATAGTAGTATGCTCTTGGCTCACTGTAACTTCCATTTTCCAGGCTCAAGCAATCCTCCCACCACAGCCTCCCAAGTTGCTAGGACTATAGGTGCACGGTACCACACCTGGCTCATTTTATGTTTTGTAGAGATGAAGTTTCGCCATGTTGCCCAGGGTGGTCTCAAACCTGAGCTCAAGCAGTCCTCTTGCTTTGGCCTTCCAAAGTGCTGGGATGACAGCCATGAGCCATCACACCTGGCCTTAAAAGCCTTTTAATGAATCAAGTGAATCAAACTTCTTGATTTCTTTATTTCCCTTATACCCCTTGTTCAATATTTAAGCAAGTGGTGCTGGCTGCTATTACCTCCAAAATATCCCAAAGTAAACCATTTATTCTTCTCTACTTTGCTTAAACTATGCTCTGCACCACTGGAATGTTCCCCTTGGATTACTCCAACAGCCTTTCAGTTGCTTTCTCTTCTTCTGCTTGTCTGACATTTTATTTTTTGTTTGGTAGCCAGAATGATAATCTAAACTTTAAATCAAATCATATCACTTCCATATGGTTAAAAATTTTCCAGTGGTTCCCTAAAGCTATTTGAATGAAATTCAAACTCATTGTAACCTAGAAGGTACTATGTAATCTGACCTTTGCTTATTTTTTAACTACATTTCTCCATCATCATCTACTTGTAGCAACACACCAAGCTCATTCTTCTTTAAAAGCTTTTGCAGTTATTATTTGCCCTTCCCGAACTGTTCTTCCTTCAGATCCTCTTGTAGTTCCTTCCTCCCCATCCTCAATTTAGTTTCAGTTTGTCTTCTGTGACCACCACGACATTGCAAAGTAATATGTCCCTTCCCACTCTGGTTATTCTCTGTTGTGTTGCCATATTTTATTTTAAGAGCACTTGACATTAACTGAAACATTTTATTCATATGTTAACTGGTCATCTGCATTAGAATGGATGTTTTGTGAAGACAAGGACTTTTTATGGCTTCTTCAATACTGTGTGCCTAGAACAGTGCCTGCATCTAAGTCAGCAGTCATTAAATATTTATTGAATGAATCAACTATATTTTAAAAGTAGGAGTATAGCTAGAAGTAATTACACAAAAGCATATTTATTAATTTAGCTATCATATCTGACTATTTGATGTTATGATGGTGAGAGTATAAGAGTCTAGAATTGATAATTTACCTTGACTGTGACTGTTTCATACTTTTGTATCTTTTAAATTTGTTTTTCTAATTTTTGTTCTTTTGACCTTTTCAGAATCTGCTGGATGATGTGGAAGAGTTTCATGAACGTGCTCAGGAGGCCATGATGGATGAAACCCCAGATTCTTCCAAACTCCAGATGTTGATAGATATGGGCTCTAGTCTCTATGTGGAACTCCCTGAATTACCACGACTGAAGCAAGAGCTACAACAGGCTCGGTGGTTGGACGAAGTAAGACTGACCCTATCAGATCCACAACAAGTCACCTTGGATATCATGAAGAAACTAATAGACTCTGGGGTAGGGTTGGCACCCCACCATGCTGTGGAGAAAGCAATGGCTGAACTACAGGAGCTCCTTACAGTGTCCGAACGGTGGGAAGAAAAGGCTAAGGTCTGCCTACAGGCAAGGTGAACACATATTTTTGTGACTGTTGCCTCTTTAACAACCAAGTCAGAAGGTAGAATGGGAAGAAGGAAAGGAACTTAAGGGCTGCTTATTTCCTTAAATGGTTTGTTTGTTTTTTTTGCCTTTAGGATTTTAATGTGTAAGTAGCATTAGTCAAGTTGTGTAGGTGGGAAAGGCATTTCCTGATGATCCAGGGCTTGAAGGGAGGGGGAGATTTTCCTCTCTCCCTGCTTTGGCAGGCAGCTCCTGGAGAGGTGCAGGTGGGTGGTAATGAGTACAGACAAGCTGGAGAGTTTCTTGCTGGGCAGGAATGTCTACAGGCCACACCTTCTTCAGCCCTCAGAGCACCTCATCATGTCTGGACCCACGAATGGGGTGCCAGGGAGTGAGTTCTGGGTCTGGCTCCAACAACTGATTTATTGTGATGACATTAAATATTTAATTAAATGTTTTGTGCCTTCCCTGGCCAATATCAAATGGGACTACATGTAGATAGTTTCAAATATGTGCAAACTATTGTGCAGAGTACTTTGTTAGATACTTCATATTATAGTAGTATTTTGTTTAGGGCCTATGATTAGTGATATTATAGTTAGGAACTAAGAATTATAAAGCTCATTATAGTATGTTATTAATGTTAACTGAAAGTTATGGAAAAATGTTACAGGGATTCAGAGGGGGAAGGTCAGGGTGAGCTTGAGTGGTCAGCAGAGGAGCTTGAGAGAAAAATAAGAACTTAGGAATCAGCAGGTTTGAAGAGGAAGGGAGGTAAGAGAAATGCCAGAAACTGAGTTTAAGGAATATGTAGGGTGTGTTCAGCTGACAGAAAATAAGTGGATTTCCTTGGAGTGGAGGAATTATGCCGGAAAGTGTTGGGAGATGAGAATCAGGCAGGAAGAGAATGTTGAGACCGTATTAGTATCAGTACCCCACTGGACTTAATGAGATTTAAATAAAATGTTTATATTTCACTGTATATTAGCAAATTTGGCTGATAATTAATAGTGACGTTCTTTGTGAAAGCATTTAGCAGCTAACATTAATATTTATGTAATTTCTCTTGTGAGAATGTGGAAACTGGGGTGCATAGAGATATCATATAGTTACTGAGTGACACAACTGAGATTTAAAGCATCTTCCACTTCCTTTCAGTATCTCTGTGTACTTAACTACTTCACCAGCCACTTACTTTGGATGCATTTTGATAAGAAAACCTTTAGGTGACTTAATTAGCACAGCTTTGAGAAGCCTCCATGTATACTGGATGTTTTGCTATCCAGATACCGAGCAAAATACATACTAAAATTTATTCAGAGCTTTTCCTATCTGAACTATTCATATTACTCTGTGTCTTCAGATTAATGACAGTTCCAGGAGGTGGGAACATATTCAATGGACAAAGCTAAATAACTTTGGAATGTAAAACTATGATTTTGATATACCTGATGCAACTGGTAGTAGTCTACCAAATGAAATTTTGTTGGTAATAATAGTTAAAAACTTTCTTTTCCTGGTCGCCTGTATTTAATCAGTGACCAGGTTCTGATGATTTTGCCTCCAAAATGTCTTTCATATCTGTCTCTCAAATTCATTGTCACTGACCTAGTTGTAGTCCTTTTATATTTAACCTTGATATTTGAGTTTGGTAAGTATTGATGGAGCACCTACTACATGCCAGCTACTATTTCTCAATGCTATGGAGACAGTAGTGAACAAGATACACAAGGTCTCTGCTCTCAAGGGCCTACCATTCTAGGAGAGAGAGAGAGAGAGAGAGAGAAATGAAATTCAAGTAATTAGTGATGAAAAAAAGTAAAATTGGTAAAGAAATAGAGGATAATGTGATTGGTGGAAATAGTGGGAGTTAGACTCTTTTCTAACTTCTGTCAGAATTATCTTTTTGAAACACAAGCTTAATCTTCTTGATCTCTTAGTATTGGTTATTAACTGCTTACCATCATTTTCTTGAGATTTTTTCTTTGCCTTTGGCCTTCTCTTTACCTCTAAAATAATGGTTTTCCTCTAGATTCTGGCATATTTGCCTTTCTTTCCTCACTCTGTACAGTGTCTCTGGAAATTTCATCTAATTTATTGGCTCCGTTTGCCTTTTTTATACTGAATAACTCCTAGATCTTCGTTTAAAATGTAGATTGCTTTCATAACTGTTATCTGCCTGTTAGATAATTCCAGGGGATGTCCCACACCTGAAATTCTCTGTATCCAAAATTGGAGTCATTAATGTCTTCCCATATCCTCTTTTGTTTCTTTGTTCTTTAAATTATACCATCTTTCACTCATTTGAACAAGCAGTTACTTTGGTAGTTAGCCTTGACTCCTCCTTTTTTTTTCTTTATCCTCAAACTTAGGCATGTTGATTATATTTCCCCAGTGCTGCTCATTTTAATTTTTTTTT